TTAATTCATATATTTTCAAATTAATCATAATTAGATGAATTTATATATTATTATTTATTGATTAATTAATTAATTTATAAACATATATTTATGTTTAAAATTGTTTGATAAAAATATAAATTTTCTAAATTAATAAAACTAATTAATTATTAATTAATATTAATTTAATGATTCAAAAATAATTTGTTTAATAAATAAATTATTTTACCTTCTATTACATATATCACTATTATACATGGACAGAATGATCATTTTTCCAGAAACAGCTCTCTCACAGATGTTTTCACACGGCTGCAACAAACAAGAAGCCAACTTCCCCGGGCAGCGCAACTACAACTACCCCAAACAGACCCTTAATGGTGAAGAATTTGGTTTTAGCCACACAAAAGCATCTGCAATCCTACTCATCAAACTGAAAAAAGGAAACGAGATTCGCGTCGAACAACAACGTTTAGTCAAAATCTCAATTGACGATCAATTATAGGAGCAAGTTTGGTGTGATGTGGTTCCAATGGACGCAAGTGACATTTTTATGGGAAGGATGCAGCAGTTCGACTGTAATACTTAGCATGATGGCTTCAAGAACACCTACACATTTAATAAGGATGGGAAGCACGCCATGTTGTTACCTGTAAAAAATGCAAATCGACACCGAAGATGCGTTGATCTCACGGACCACCTACCTTTAGTCAGTTTGAAACGTGCCAATGGCACTTACATCGATCCTCCTAGAAGGTACCGACAAGTGAGATACCCGCACAACTGCAGCTGCTCCTACACGATTTCCAAGACGTTATGATTGACAACCTCCCAGACGCATTACCACCACTGAGGGACATCCAAGACACCATCGACCTCATACCAAGGTCGGTACCAAATCGACCTGCCTATAGATTGCAACCTATGGAGCATGAGGAGCAATAGTGTCAGGTGCAGAATCTAGTTACAAGGGGCTTAGTCCGTGAGAGCACCAGTTCATGTCATCCCCGCTCTGATGGCACCCAAGGAAGGGACATGGCGGACAGGACATGGTAGATGTGCATCGACAGTCGTCTCATTAATAAAATCACCATCAAATACTGATTCCCTATACCTCGCCTAGATGACCTGCTAGATTAGTTACACAGAGCCACCGTCTTCTATAAAATCGACTTGCACAGTGGATATCATCAGATAAGAATGCATCCAGGAGACAAATGACAGACAACCTTCAAGACAAGCAATGGTGTCTATGAATTGACTGTTATGCCTTTTGGTCTATCCAATGCACTCAACACTTTCATGTGACTGATGAATTAAGTGTTCTGCAGCTGCATTGAGAAATTCTTAGTAGTCTACTTCGACAACATCGTGGATCGAAGAGGCACCTTCGAATGACTTTCAAGATTCTACAAACCAAAACACTTGTATGCCCACCAAAAGAACTACCACTCCTCACAAATCAAGTATGTTTTCTGGAATACATCATGTCAAACACAGGCATTCAAATGGACCCATCAAAGATCAAAGCAATCATCAGTTGGACCGCACCCAAATCATTCACTGAGCTACGAGAATTTCTAGGGCTAGCCTCCTATTGACGATTCGTCAGGAACTTCAACACTATCACTGTCCCTCTCACTAAACTATTGAAGCGAAAAGAATTCACCTGGACAGCCACAGCTCAATACAACTTCGACGCACTGAAGGAAAAGGTGACTCAGACTCCTGTTCTAGCCCTACCAGATTTCAACAAATTGTTTGAGGTCGGGTGTGACACACCGACATGGGCATTGGCATTGTCCTAAACCAAGGAGCTCACCACATTGCCTTTTTCAGCGAGAAACTATATGATTCATGATGAAAATATTCAACCTACAATAAAGAGTACCATGCAATTGTCAGAGCCCTGGAATACTGGAGTCATTACGTTCTAACAAACGAGTTCACTCTATTCGCAGACCATGAAGCTTTAAAATTCTTAAACAATCAAAGCAAACTAAACGGGCAATACACACATGGGTGGAATTCTTAACTTCATTCCAATTTGAGCTCAAACACAAATTCGGGAGTCAAAATCGTGTCGCAGACGCACTGAGTTGTCGTTACCTGCTGATCACGTCCATGCAGACTCAGGTTGTGGTTTTGAGATTATAAAAGACTTGTACAAGACAGACGAGGACTTCCAACAGATCTGGGAGTAGTGTCGGGTGCAGCTTACCGAGCAATATTACCAAACAAATAGTTACTTGTTCTGCCAAAATAAATTATGCATTACTCGATGCTCGTTGAGAGAGGCCATAGTCCAAGTGAACCAGGTGGAGGATTGACCAGTTATTTTGGCAGGAAAAAGACAGTTGCGCTTGTAAGAAAACACTTATTTTGGCCTCGTCCGATAAGATATGTGGAGCAACACGTCTGACAGTGTAGGGTTTGCCATATTGCCAAAACCCATGGGCAGAATACAAAATTGTACACCCCTTTGCCGGTACCTGAGGCACCATGGACGGATCGATGTCAGCATGAACTTTGTGGTGGGACTTCTCTGCACCCAAAGGAACAAAGATTCCATCATGGTGATAGTAGAGCGTTTCTAAAAAAATGGAGCATTTTGTGGCTTGCCACCGGAAGCTGGACGCCTCTCACTAATTGCCAACTTGTATTTCCGAGAGATTATGTGACTTCACGACATTCCCCATACCATCATCTCCAAACATATTGTCAAATTTTTAAGCCATTTATGGATGACCATCTAGGAAAAATTAGGCACTAAACTTTAATTAAATTCAGCGGCACGCCCTCAAACAGATGGCCAGTCCGAAGTAGTCAATAGAAGTCTTGGGAATCTTCTACGATGCTTCGAGGCAAAAGCATGAAACAATGGGATCTCACTCATACGCAAGCCGAATTCGCCTACAAAAGATCCACGAATTTGACTACGGGACACATTCCATTGAAATTGTGTACGGACGCACTTCGTCCATGCCCCTTGAGTTGTCCCACTTCTACCCCAGATCAGCGAGAATGCTACTGAACGAGTTCACCAGATTGAACAACTCCATGAGGGAGTTGGGAGAGCGATTACTAAAAAGAACCACAAATATCAAGCACATGATGACAAATCCATAAAAAAGATAAGCTTTAGAAGAGACCTCATGTGCATTCGCCTCAAGAAGGAGCACTTTCCCATAGGAGTACACAGTAAACTCAAGCACAGAGTCGACGGCCCTTTTCGGATACTTAAAAAGCTAAATAACAACGCCTACAAAATTGACCTTCCAGACAACTCCAAAATCTCGGCAATCTTCAATGTCTCGAACACACTCCTTAGTTCGAGGACCCTGAAGCTTCGACACGAGAAGTTGAAGCTCCCCCAACCTCGAGAGAATGACGTCGGGGTCCAACTGGGCTGTAGACTGATCCAGCCTCCCTGTTGGACCCGACCGGCAAGATCCCATTTAAAGATGAAGTTTTGCCCCTCCATCTCCTACTCGTCAAGCTCTTTGCAGATCTAGCACCCCTCTCTTTTCCAAGCCGTTTCAATCCCACTTCACTCCCTTCCATTTTCTTCCTACTTCCTTTCCTAAATCTTCCCTATGCTAGCTACTAGTCTTCCCCTATTTATACATGGTGTTTTGCTTAGATTTATCCAATTTTTGTGATTTCTGATTCCAGTTCTCTGCCTCCAAGGCATCCCCCTTCCGAGGGTTGTATCCAACGACGGGCGGTGCTTCGGCTGTACCCCGCCTGAGGTGGTGACTACCCCTACTCTAGCTTGCTGCTTCCAACACTGCCCATCCACTGCTTCACTTTTCGGTCCCCTCCCACAGGCTGCAGTTCTCACCGGCTCCCCCCCACAGACAGCCATTGATCCGCTCCCCGTCAACCTCTATCGATCCTCGCTTCCATCAGCAAACCGCAGACCCTTTAAACTCCTCTCAACAACCAGCACATCCTTTGACAGCACTGCCGCCTTCGGCCTTTCCCGTCTACCTGGTCTCTAGCCACCATCCATCACTCTCACGCCAGATCCACCGCCTTCCAAGACTATTCATGTCTTATAATGTTTACTTTCTTACTTACAGAGTCGTTGCATCTTGCATTATTGTTTTATTTACTGGTATTGTTTGTCATCAAAGAGTCAATGTTGTACTTTCTTCAAAGTCCACAATAAAATTGTGTCGTTTGAGTCGTGGTTTGGGTTAGCTCTGATATCAAGAGTGAGAGAAACTCTTGTAGACTATTGTTGTTCAAATACTTATAGATAGTTAGGTGGCAGTATCAAAGCAATACCCGAGGAAGAAGACAATGAAGGCTAATTGAGGACAATTACAAAGCACCTGAGGCTTTCTCAAAAACTCGCGGTCGCCAAAAGAGGATTCTCACAAGGTAGTGGGGAGGTCTAGGCACTTGACAACTACATAAATGTCATGGGCAAGGAGCCAAGGAAGACAACAATAGAGGGACCTCGGCCAAGGGAACGGGAGGTGGCAACACCCGACATGGCGGGCATGTAGTTCTTGGAAAGGGAAGTCGGGGGGGGGGGGGGGGGGGGGAGGGGGTGGTCAGAGGACGGGGGGCGAGGAAAAGCAGATGAGTGTCGCTAGTGGTGGACGACAATGGTAAATGCCTTGAAGTCATTTGGTATGATAGCATGGAGCTCCTAAAGATACGGTAAAGAGATGAGCCAATCATATTTTAGAATGAAGGTAAAAGGAGTGTCGTTTTTTTCGGTTTTACATAAGTTTTAGGTGTTTGACAATTACATAGTAAAGTTTAGGTGTGAAATATGTATATAAAAAAAAATCGGATCAAGTGAATGTTTAAACTTATTCACAACGTCAACAATTTGGCATCATTAATGAAAATAAACACCTAGGATAAGGGTAAGATTGAAGGCAAACAAATGTCAAATGCCAACAAATTAGCACCTATACAAGGACAACTGATTTCAAATTAAAAATTCATGCAATTTTTGAAAAGCAACAACTCTTACAGGAAAAGGGTGCAATTAGTCATACCAATAGAAGGTCTGCCTCCACCACTTCTTCAAGGGTAGCATGAAAAGCTTCTACCAACTGAATAAAATTATTTCCTCATAAGCAATCGAGAAAATTCTCATCACTAGTATAAGGGAAAATTAATAGCTCTAAGAAGATACCTGTACAGGCAAATCCGAAATAAAACCAACAGTATCACTGAGAAGAGTTTTTCTCCTGAACAATATCCATTACAAATAGAATCATTCTAGTTAGTGCTAAAACTCCGCCTGCAATGATAAATTTCATTTATATATTACCCAGATGGAAGGAACACACTTCTTAGACGAGGATCCACAGTTGCGAACAATCTGTGGAAACAAACAGAACTTAAAAAACATGTTGGAATGGCCCATTTTAATAGAGCATATGAAAGCTAACGCAGCCATGACTGAACTATTCAATTATAATATATACAATTGAAATGTCACTCAACGCAACATGAGACAAGACATACCTATCATCGCTGTATATATGACTGTTAGAAAGAGCGCTAACTAACGTAGATTTTCCCTGCAGTCAAACGGTTAAAATAATAAATAATATCCTAGTTATGATGATCGCACAAAATCACAGAAATGATGATCATATTAACAGATGCAATCCAAAAAAAATAAAGCCCTTTTAAACCAAAATCTTGAATGAAAAAAAAAAAAGACAAGCAAACATTAATATATGGCACAAGAAATACAGTAAAGTCAAGCCATCGCAAGTCAAATAATCAGAACAGTTTGAATATGAAAAAAAAATTAGGACATTATTGCAGTTTGGTCACTCCTCACCGATTGCTGTACAAAGACTTGTTGCAGATCTAATCCAGTTTTTATATAGAAACCGATCTAAAATTGTTCAGTCAATTTCTTCGGAGGATGTTGTGGTGTCGTTTTGAAAATGTGCTGAAAATAGAATTCCTAGTGTTGCTTGCATAGCATGTGTAATGCTGAATACAAGTTCTTGTTTTTGTTTTTCAAAAGCATGATAGAATGATGATACATAAGGAATGGATATTGACCATAATTCTTGTAATGCTATGGTCGATATCAATATGAAACCGATCTACGAGATTAATAATATGGAGATCTTCAAATAGAGTAGGGCTATCATAAAACCTAATTGACAAATAAATGCGTGCAAGAAACTGTCATTCTATCCAAATAAATGTGTAAAGCCACTAATATCATAAAAAATAGAACATACCCTCCTATTATAAAATTAAATAATAATATGCACCATAAGAAATATAAAATTGCATCGCGTGCTTAGTTCTCAGGCTTTTGTCAGTCCACCCATTCGCACAAAACAAGTGGTGCCAATATCAAAGTAAACTGAGCATCAAGAGCTCATGACATGCCAATCAACCAAGATGGCCAGGCTTTGAAGCTCTTGCGCCTCTTTATACCATATAATGCCTTTGGCCACGACTGAACAAATCATTCCCTTGAGCCTAAACTATCACATTACATGCTTATCAAGTACATATTTCATATGACCGATGTTTTTTTTAATTATTATATGTAATGATCCTTAAAATAAGAAAATTGAAAGGGATGATTGGGCATATATAATTAAAAAGTTGATATTTTACTTCAAACGCCATAAAATTAACATGTGATAATTTTGGACTAGTCAAGCATTTCTACCAAGTATGGGCACCACAACGCATGACATGCCAATCAACCATGATGGCCAGCCTTTGAAGCTCTCGATCATATTTATATCATATCATGTCTCTGGCCACGACCAAACAAATCATTCCTTTGAACCTAAACTATCACGTTACATGCTTATCAAATACAAGTTTCATATAACCAATGAGATTTTTTAATTATTATATGTAATGACCTTGAAAATAAGAAAATTGAAAAGGATGATTGGGCATATATACTTAAAAAGTTGATACGTTACTTCAAACGCCATAAAATTAACACAAGATAATTGTGGACTAGTCAAGCATTTCTATCAAGCATGAACACCACTACGCTCAATGATTTCTATCCCACTACTCAAAAGAAAATTTTTTAAAAAAAGTAAGGGAAAGATAAATAAAAAATCTCTCTTTTAAATAATAGAATATTGTAAGAGCACCACTTACTGCATTTGTATAACCAACAACAGCAACAGTTGTCAAACTATGGCCATCTAAACCACCACGTCTTTTGCGAGCAGAGCGCTGTAAAGCCCTAGTCCTCCTTACCTCGTCAATTTCAGTTAGCAGTTGGTTTCTCCTTTCTTGTATTCTGAAAGTCACAAGATTAGATACAGCTACTCATAAAACCAACAACATAAAAACAAATGAAAATTTATTCAATAAACAAATAACTATATAAAAGATATATGACAAACAGAATATGGAATTCACATAACAAAAGCATAATAACGACACAACAATGACAGAACAACTGAAACTTGAGAAATATATCATGGATGCATGCTCCAAAGAAATTTAAGCTCAAAGCAATGACGTAACATGTATCCCCACTGAAGTCACAATTCCATAATCCTATTTAAAATTATGTTAACGTACTAAACCATCAATTTCACCTTTTTAGAGCAGCACAGAATTATAAATAAGGCAAAGGTACAGACTAACAGAAAGCATAACAAGGGCACAAAAATGACCGCAAAATTGGAACTAGAGAATTATTTCAAGTGCATATGCTCAACCTCAATTTAAGCTCAAAGAAATGTTAGCATTTATCCTTACTAAAGTGTTGTTTTCGAGAAGTCATTTAGACTGCAATTTCTACACCATTAACGAATTTAAGGCACGACAAAAAATAAAAAATTAAATAAAAAACAAAAAGGAAAGAAAAAATGTTTACAACCAATAACCATATGGCTCAACTCTCAAAGCCTCTTCATCTTTGTATGTGTGCTTTAGGTGTTCGTGTAATGCTAAAATCGTTAAAATGGTTACAGACAAAATTAGACATTCTTAACAAAAATCATATTAAACTTGATTACTAATTGATCCAAATATACTAAGTTTAATGATATTTAACAGAATATTAAAATAAACTGGCAGGTATCATGGCATACAGTAAGATGTAATTAACACTTCTCTTTTAGGTTATAGTAAATAAAGTAAATCACAACGCGCACACAAAAACAACATAATATTAGTTGAGGAAATTGATGTTCCCATGCGTTTATGACTCCAATTTTGCCTCCATGAAGAAATATAGAGATATGAACAACTCCCTACTTGTTCTTGGAGGGAATGCATCAACAAAATGTGTTAGGCAGCGCCTTATTATTGACAAGAATGAAAATACAGCAGCACCCCTATTGTGCCGACAGAAGAGAAATTAGCTAGCGAAGGGTTGTATTTATGATAAGGTACAATCATTGAGGCATCCAAGAAGTAATATTTGATTATTTACATTGTACTTTAAAAGCTACCCCCAAACAGACTCTTAGAAGTGACCAAAATATTATCTGATAATAAAGCAAACTTCACGAGCATCTCCTGGTCGTCGAGACGGTTCAAACAAGTATATTTGTGTCTGAATCGGATTCCGTTTGACATGTTTTGAGGCATCAAACAATCACCTTATTTAAATATTACGTAAATTAAATTTATACATTTACATATTTATATATGGATATTAATATATTTCTATTTTTATATAACTAGTTAATATATCTTTATATATTTATATATTAATTATGCTTAATCTTCAAATTTAGGTTTAAATTTAACTTTTTTCCTAATCAATTCACATACAAATAAAGGCTTAAGTTGATATTAATAGAGTAGTTAAAATAAAGATGTTGAAAGTGACTTTATTTGAATGAGCGGAAAATTTCAAAAGAAAAGAAGAGAATGAATCCTTCTTCCTCTCCCTCTCACAGCTAGGGGTGTAAACGAGCCAAGCTTGAGCGAGTTGAACATGTGTTCATGCTCGGTTCATTTATTTATTTATTTATTGTTTGAAATTAGCTCGTAAACAGTCTGTTCATGTTCGACACGAAAAATATTCATGTTTGTGTTCGGCTTGAAAAATATTCGCATTTGTTTTCAGCTTGAGTTCAACTCAAATAGACAAGTTCAAATTAATTAGAAAAATAGATGTAGAGAGTTGGATTCAAACCTACACCAATTATATGCAATAAAAAACGCGAAACCACATGACCATGCAAGGAGTGGTGATTTAAAATTCGAAATAATTATATATAATATATTATTATATATAATTTCCTTATTTTGAGCAAAAATAAGTCGCACATGATCGAACAAAAGGTCTTACATGGCTTGTTTATATTTCGAGCTTAAAAGATTATATGTATTCAGCTCGCTAACTTAACGAATGATTCGAATAAAAGTTATTTAACAAGTCAAACACAAGTTGTTTGTGAACAACAATCTTTTTTGACAGCCCTAATCACGACAAGAATAAGGAAAAAGACAAAAAAGAAAAGTTTCAAAAAACAAACACTAATTTACTCTTCTTATACAAGCTTTTCTTAGTGCATTAGGGTGAGGCTTGCATGCGAGACTCGCGACGCGGTGTGCAATTCAAACTAAGTACTCGTACACGTTTTTCTTGATGTGTTAAGAAAATTTCCGTGTTTGCTTGAGTTTTCATGAAAAAGAAACCTCGATACATGTGTAAGCATGGCGGAGACAACGACGATGCCAAATAGCCTAATGAATGTTTGTACATGTTTTCCTTAGCGTGACAGAAAAATTTTATCATTTTTTTTATTTTTGTAATTGATTTTGCAGGTCCACAGCTCCGTACACACATTTCTTTGGGTGGCAGGGTGCACTACCATAGTGCAAACCACTCATACACGTCTGTCTTGATGTGGTGGGTAGACCCAGATTTTCAGGTGAGCCTCCCTCAAGGGGATGACGTCGGGAGGCTGCCAAAATTTCATCTGAACGCCGCTTACAATGAATAATGAAACTGAATTTATTTATATTAAAATTCAATTAAAATAAATTTCCTAAATTACAAAGGATAAATTTTAAAAAGAAAAAAAAATTAAATTAAATAGAACCTGCATAACATTTACATGGGACTCGATAGCTTATCTTCGAGCATGAATGAAACCTATAATTGACTCGTTAGCTTGCAAATGAGAGTGAAATGAACGCTCTATTAGATGCTTGAATCACATTACAAGATTAATTAAAAAATTAAAGATCAACAAAAAATTGCTAAAAATTTGAGTCTATTTTTCAACTAGAAGAAAATATATGATAGACCTTTGATGAAGCAAATTGCTAGCATATGAGCATAACAAGCTTCATTGAATATCCAAGATTTGAAAAGTTGAAAGCAAAGCTAAGCATATGAGATAAAATTCAACATTCTGAATGCATAATCAAGATTCTCATTTGCTAAATAATGCCATCAGATCCACAATCCTCCTACATGAGCGAACAAAAGGCGAACTTAAAATAAAATTTTACAGGCATCTCAATAATTAGTATGCTCATGCAAATATCCAGAACTTTGAGTGATTTCAAGAGTAATTAATAAGTTTAAGTAAAGATATGAGCACACATCACAAGGCTACCTCCAAATGTATTAAAATTTGTACAAATGTGCCTTTTAAATGCATTGAAATTGGTGCTAGTGAACAAGGTGTGCATACCATAAAAGTACGTGCATAGGCTCCAACCATCATATTGAATGCTCGATCATATGGTCCAAGAATATTGTGTGGACTTACATTGAATTAATTTTTAAAATGCCACCATAAAAAATATGCATGTTATCCAAAATATTAAACCCTCGTGTGCTCCATCGTTTGTTTCATATTCCTTAATTCTAAGCATCTGAAAATGTTGCGCAGGTTAAGTGTATTTTTAAGCTAAAATTGAAAATACATTGATAAGCATAAATGTATCTCAAGGCTTAACAAAAATTTTCCTTCCAAAAGCCAAATTGAAAAGTATTAAATCACGCATCCTCTCAAATATGTCGCCTTGCCTATAGAGCAATGTCGTAAGTCTCACTTTTGTCCAATCTAATCCTCCTCCCAACAGGTACCACTTGACAATAGTTATTTGATACCCCGATGATGGCAGTGTTGAATGTAAATTTCAATCGGATGAGTCTACTTTCCAAATAATCTCAAAAGAATATCTAAACAAACTCAATTGATTTAGGTTATGAGTCTGGTCTTCAGTAAGTAGGACAGAGTCGACAGTTTAAGATTACTTAAATCCCAGATGATGGTTGCATTGAAAATAAATCTCAACCAGATGGGTTTACTCCAAAATCAAAAAGACTTCAAAATATTAAAATAAAATCAATCATTTAAAATTTAACAGCAAAACTCATATGTCCTCCGCGATCTTTTATCTAGGGTGACAAATCTATTGTTACTCTAAACTCACAAAAAACTAATGTAATATTAAATATACTACTAATTTAAACTCAAAATAACTGTGGCAGTAAAAACGTAGATCAAGTATTTTGTCTGCATGGTTTAAACTCACAAAAGAAGTGTTAAGATCAGAGCCCTCTAACCAAATGGTTCGACAATAGGCTCCATCAAGTGGTTTAGCCAGTAGACTCCATTATAAAATGGTCACGATTGCAGGTTGCATATCCACCAATGACATTCTGCCCCCTTTGAGTTATAAATCATAGGGTATATTTGATATGACACAAAGCTCTTTATAAACTAAGGTCGACCTAGATTAGTTCTCTTACACAAATATCCACCCCACATCTGCAAGGTTCCCTTAAATGAAGCAACTCATGATTGTTGACAATGATTCTTCTGCCAGTTTGGGTCGCTACCTCCTCTTACTAGGTATACCAGTGACCATGACGACCCAAGATGACGAAATCATTGAATCTTGATCAGGTGCTTCATCATTTCCCTCACTATCCGCTCTTAAGTTCACGATGAAGATTTTATAAGTTTAAATTTTAAACTTTTTGCTACTATATGCTAAATAATCAATTTTCCGATTACTAGCCTTAATCAAAAATGTTTTCCCGTTATTGAGAGTGATAATTAACTGTAGGGGCTCGTGCCTACAGAAACCTCACAGCCCATATCATTAAAATCCTCACAAAATGAGCTCTAGGCAGTGTTATCTACTATCTCATATGCTGTATGAAAATTTGACCAGAAATCTCACCGTAAACTCCCTCGTTCTCATTCATCTTCTTTTTTTCCTTTCAAGGAAAGGGACGGCCAAGATATTTTGAATTTTTGGAGCACACAAAAAACTAGAGTACAAAGAATAATAAATAGTTATTAAAGAGATGGTAGATATAGTGCATATTAATAACAAGGTGGAAAATAAGTTGAAATACATTGATCTTATTTAATACATAAATACATATAATGTGGGTAAATAGAGATTGATATGACAGAATTTTGAAAAACAAAACATAGTATTATGGCTAAACGAGAAAAAAATCATCCAAATATAAGCGTTAACTCTTCATGTAGCCACTCAACATAATGAATAAAGCCAACCCTGAAATAGTCAGCAAAAGGTAAATGATGCTGATGATCAATATCATGATAATGTAGAATGTCCCTTATAGATTAGATGGCCACTATTTGACAAAAAATAACTAGTTTTAATTGTTTGAGTCGAACTACTCAAAAGGTGTATGGAACTTGTTTTAGCAAACGAAACATAGAAACTCCAACAATCATTTCCGAAGTCCATTAATGAAAGCATAACATACAAGAAATTTTCAATAGCTTCTTCCTGAAATTATAGTAAAACTGATTTAAAGTTTACATATATTAATTATAGAAAATTTTACCCTCTTCAATAATCTGTAAGAATAAATACAAAAAGAGCATACAAATTTACCTCCTCCGTTGGAGCTGTAGCTCAGTTTCTCCAGCACCACTAATAAAACCACGCCCTCCACTTCCTCTCCTGCAGTCAACAATCATATAATAAATATTAACTGCTTGAAATAGAAAAAATTCTGACGCTTGCACTAAGTTGACATATGTTTTCAGCTAAAGTGTAATATGTAATTATCATATACAGCTATATTTAATAAGCATAGTGGTCACTTCATTACATTAAAAGTTGCCTGATGTATTTTTTAACTTATGATAAACACAGAATATCTACCTGAAGCATAAAAAAAAATCATAAATGCATATCCTAAATATTTTGTACATACCCTCGCGCACTAACAACCTCAGCTTCACCACTTATTCCAAAAGTAAGGCGTCCATGTGAACCACGCACTCGAACAAGACGACTCCGCTTGTACATGAGAGCAGCTAGTTCAGACTGTAAAAATAGGGTATAAAACTTCATTACCCGCAAATCCTTTCTCAGGAAATGAGCAATAAACAAGGAAGATGATAAAATCACATCCTTTAACGCTTCCAAACATATGTAAGACAAGATTTCAAAACAAAAGGAGACAAAATTATGAAATTTGTAGGGCGATTGAAAGACCTGCAATTTTGCCTCTTTGGTCTCAGCATGGGAATTGAAGATCTCTATAATAAGGCCAACACGATCCAAAACCGGCTTTCCCCAAGAAATCTATCAAAAATTTTCAGTAGTGAATCAAATGTATTAGCAATTGATGATGAAATCAGACAAAAATATAAAGCTAAACTCAGATAAGCAGCATATTGATATGGCTTGCCTCCAAATTGCGCTGTTGGATTCCAGAAAGAGTTGCATTCACGAAAACAGCATCTATGTGATCCTGTTATAGCTACAAATATAGTTTTAGAAAGGGATCATAAATTTGTCCATAGATATTGATATAACTTTCTTAACTCCCTTCTGTGAATGACAGAATAAAGTAACTAATCATTGAAAAAACCCGGGAATCTCAACATTTAAAAGTTTATTTTTCAACCGCAGTTTCCTCTTTGCTAAAACAGATTTGGGTAAAAATCAATACAAATTCTTAATCCATATATATATATATATATATATATATATGTGTGTGTGTGTTTAAAAACAATCAAAAGTTGTCTTAAAAGATAATCTAAAAGAAGGTAAACATTTTTATGCTAGACATATACTACTACACAACTGAAAAACATAACATAATTACATGTAAGCAAAACTTCTCAGTTTCTTCTCAAAGTTTTGAAGTAAGAAAATCATAATTCAGATGCAGAAAATCTTCATCTCTAAATACTCTTTCAGGAATGTATAAACAGAAGAGATGAGAAATAGATAGAGCACCTCTGATTCCAATGCCTTCAGATGGGTTTTGATATTGTCCACAGTTCCCGGTCCAAAATAAGTATCTGATACAATTTTTGCAACCAAATCATCAGCACGAATACCAATAAAGCACTAAGTTAAGGAAAAACAGGGACCTTTCACACGAAACAATCATCCAACAAAATTACGAAAAGAGAAAACTATGTCTCAGAATTGTCAGCACATTAAATATCTACCAACAGAAGAAGACAAAAGCCATAACCAGGAATACTCGGTAATTGTTCAAAAGTCCAATCAATCCATAACCTGATTCTTAGCAAAAATAAGTGTGAAAATTATATTTCTTATGGCTAAATAAATAAATTACACTCTTTAATGAAAGAGAAAATAGACAAACACCTAAAAAGTCATACTCACATGTATGACCAAATATTATATAACAGAATTTGCAGTTCAAACATCTATTCATTATTTCAACATGCTGCAGTAAAGATTTCTGCGTATTTATTATATATAACAACTAAACTTCAAATTTACATATATGCCAAATTAACTATACATGAAAAGGGGTATTCCACTTTTTAAAAGACAGATCAGTGGTACTTTTGGTGTGATATGAAAGAATTGGGTGGAATAAATGTAAAAAAGCAAAGTTTATGTGTTAGATATGTAAACATATAAGAATTGATGGTATGCATGTAAAGCCTATAAAAGAAAAATACTTAACACTAGATACAACCAACACAACATGATTTTACTTTTGCAATATTTTCACCCAAATATATATTCATCTTTAATATTTAAAAATAGACATCTTAAGGAGCTTTTAACAGCCAGAGCAAAAAGAAACAAAGCATTTTTCTTCTTTGGCTTCTTAAAAAATCGAGCCAAAATATTGTGTTAATGAATAATTACAAAAACATACAATGACTTAATATTTCATTATAATAATCCTGAGCATCTAATCTTCTAAAAGTTATCTCACTCATTTTAAATTTTTGATGTCTCAAAATCAATACCACGTCATCTTAAAAACAATACGCCACAATGCTTCAAATATTCTTTTAAAAATTTCCATAGTAAATACAAGAAGATACTAACATAATATTAAAATGTAACATGAAATTATTTTTTTACAAAAACTCAGCTCACAATTACTTCAAATATCAAAATATTGCTGACGAATATATTTTCTCCTAAATAAATTATCATGCCACTCAATCATATGCCAATTTCAAAAACATAACCATAAGACAGTCATTTCATTGCTCTCTATATTTTTTCCATTAATTGCTACAACACATAGATTGCATCCAAAGTAGGTCACATTGGTATACAACAAATTTGATTGTTTGATAACATGATTTTCAAAGTTCATATTCCAAAACCATCACTTAAGACATCATGATATGAACCGTAGGCCTAATTTCCCAATGCATACCACATCCTTCAATATCTTTCGCTCATAAATACAAGAACAAAATACTTGCTCTCCAAGCAGTTGGTACACTATCAATTTTTAAGATCTAATAAGAGATTGTATAATCAAACTATTCAAATCTCTCTCATAACTTCAAAAAAATTGATATGTACACCACATCAATAGGTACATAGCATGAACATATACAAAATTAAGGTTCATTTTTTATTATCTATGATAACCTTCATGATTCCACTCATTTTACATGTCCTTCTAAAAAAAATTCATCCTTAAAATTCTTATTTATCAAAATTCATGTTCAATCTTCAGCTTAATCTTCACATTTAACTAAAAATTTATAATGTTCTCACTCGAAATACATCTAACTTGCTCGAAGCTTCTATAGCTCTTGTTCATTGTCTTACCAAAATTTTTCTTCCTTTTTCCTGCTACCAAGTCAAGCCGCCTTTCCTTCTCCTTCCTTCCCGTAATCATTCCCTCCTTCTTCTGAATCAAGCAAATTTACGAGAGCTCTTTCTCTTGTTGTCAAACCAGCTTCAAGATTTGTGCAATCCCTTTTCTTTTCCTGCAATATTCATTGTTGTCACCTTCCCAATCAAGTTAGGGCGCCTTGCCCTTGCAAACCTTGTTCCTGTTACAAGAATAAAGTCAGGGCATCGCAACTTTCCACTGCACTAGACACTGATAGCTATAGGACTTTCTCCCTCTCGCCTAACTCTCCTTTGACCTAGCCAAAGGTAGAGGACAGAAGCTTGCTCTCCTCCTTTCTCGACCAATCTAGCAGGTAAGCTCCTCTGTGTTTAATGCAATTATCTTATATATAAATATGCATGTATGCATGTATGTATATATACATATCCATGTATAGATATATATATATATATATATATATATATATATATATATGTAAATTATGTTACACCTAGTTTAATAAATAACTATGTTAAATTGCATAATTGCTTATATTCTGAATTCCACTTTGTGTAGTAGGAAAGTGTTGGGTGAACCATTAAAAAATTTAGAATTTTGTGTTTGTTTCAGATAAGTAACTATAATTTATTACGGGATAAATGTAGTAGTTATCGTTAGAGGCATTAACGTTGTTGTTTGTATCAGAATCATAGTTACTTTGTAAGATTGTCAATCCTGTCATAGTTTCTCAATTTATTTCTTTTTTGGCCTTGTTGTAGATTTATTTATTGCTCATGATGAAAGAATTAACTACATTATTTTTTTGCCCTTGTTGCAAGGTTGTAATGTTTTATTTTCTTACTTATTACTATTATGAATTGCAATTAAATTTCTTGCATTTTATAATTATGCTTAAAATAATAAATATGTTGGTCATATTATTTAAATAATCTTCCACTAAGAAATTTTAATTATATACTTGCGTGCAATGGTCTACATGTCAATGCAATCACTTTGGATATTGGAAATAGCTGGGGTTCCTTTGTTGATAATTACCTTCCTGATTTCAAAGTGTTCGATATAGCCGACTACATATAAATAAAAATTGAAAATAAGTAGCAAATAATAGTAAATTTTATGCTAATAAGACTTGATTGGATTTGAGGTTATTGTATTGATTGTCAATAATTTCAAATTTCACTAATTTCAATTTTGATATTTATAGTAATATACATATACATATAGTGAATCATCCCTCTTATTGTTCATACTGCATATCCAAATCTTTAATATTTATGTTTTAATAAACAACGGTTATTTACTGAATTTAATTTGTTAAACTCAATTATTAATATTTTTGTATAGTATATTCTATTCAGCCACTTACAAAATCATCTCTACATGAATAAATATTCCAGCTCTGGATTTCTTCTTTTCATTTTTGGTATTTGCTTTGGTTATTATATTTCCTCTTTAAGTTTTTGGGTAGTTGTTTCTATATGGTCAGTTCAATTTTGTTTCAGTCGGTCTTTTATTTTTCATTCGGTTGTATCAATCAGATTCTTATTTATGAAATAACATAAAATTCATCTTTAATTATTTATTTTTTATTGCTTGCATACAATCTTTTCTTTTGATAATAAAAACAAATTTGCATCATTGTGTTGCTAAGGTATACCGACTTCTAGACCCCACAAGTGACATTACCAAAGTTACAAAAAGAAAATACTCTAGATCCCCTTTTTTATGTCTTACCTAACTTATAAAAGAGGTAAAATAAAATAAATCTAAATCATTCAAAATCTCTAGATCTCCTTTTTTCTTGTCATAACAAATTTATTAAAAACCTATAAAGAATATGACATGAAAGAAAAAGGACCGCTTAGCAAATTTTTTTTAGCATTCAAACTGTAACTTTCAGTAGTTCTTTTTATTAGTTTTCTAATTTAACTCTTAAGACATCTTCCTATCTTCCTATCTATTGAAGGGCTATTCTTCTGATGGTGAAGCAGAATAGCATATTCTCATATCAAATATATCTCTTGTAACACCCCCATGTTGTCGGTCAAGTAGATTCAGAAATGCATATATCGATTATTTATCTTGAGCAACACTTTGCGCTCTGTAGCCCTCTCTGTGAGAAGCCTTCAAATTGGCGTTTTCCATTAGAAGCTCCGCCTGTGTTTCTGCTAATTGCATAATTTGGTTTAATGATGGTTTGAAAATGTAGGCTGCAATTATACTCTGCTAGTGATATTTGAGCCAAACGGATAATTGCATTTTTATGAGATTTTATGGTTATGTAAGGTCACTTTTCAATCTTTTCAAGCACACAAACAAAGAAGCAAATTAACGAAGCAATTTTGTTGCTTTTTACAAAATAAAATGTCATGTTCTTATCACTAATTAGTAGCTAAATTTGCGGACATCTTTTAGCTGAATAACAGTAGTTATGTTGGATGAATATCAAGATGTCAAACCATCTGAAATTTTATAATACAGTTACTATTTCAATGATGTTGGTGTCTTTTCATAGAAAAATATTGAATTAAAAACACAGCGCTACAGCAATGTAAAGAATAACATTTACAGAATAATAAACTAAACAGCTCTTAAAATAACTTCAACGTTTCAAGAAAAAAAAAAACATCGTAAAAATAAGAATGCACCGCAGCAATAAACCTCCAATAGCCATTCTTCAAATATCAGGTGACAGGAAGTTAGTTCAGAAACTTGAAAAGAAAGGAAGCAGGAAAAGACAAACCGGCATGAGACTTGGAGGACCTGGCGATGGGGTTCTGCACAACAAGGTGGGAAGAGATCTGCTTGGCGGTAAAATCCGCCTGAACGAATCCGCCGCGCGGCTCCTCGAGCGACTTAGCAAGGTTAAGCGCCTCAGAGAGCTTCAAATCAAGGATGGATTCAGGGCGGACGCGGGGCTGGACCACAAACAGCCTCGGCGGGCTCTGTAGATCGTTCGCGAAAAGGAAGACGCCAGGAACGGCAACGTCCTTCTCTTTCCCCTCTTCACGCTCCTCGTCGCTTCCCTTCCGCTTCCGGAAAGACGAGAACAGTGCGCCAAAAGGCGAAGGCGAATTTACAGGAATCGGAGCACGTATGGGGAAGAGGGGAGGGGGATTAAGGGAACGGCAGAGGTAACCCGTTGGTGGTCGGACGCGAGAAACGATTCTCATCACCATATTTTCAAACTTCTCCGAACACGAAGTATGCCAGCGTAGCGTGTACAGGCCTAAAGATGGGGTTTTTAAGATCCTTGTTGCAACACTAATTGGGCATTTTTGTTACATTATTTTTTTTTTTTTTGGAGCATTTAGATTCATGCCACTTAATTCTTATATATTTACATATCTAAAACTATAATTTTTACATTTATACACCAAAAATTTTCATATCTCATAAAAAATTATACTATTTTAACTTTGTAAAAAGTGCAATACACTTTTCCATGCGTGTGTATGCAAAAATTAAAGTTTTGACATGCACATATATGATGTAAATATTCCTTCATTTTTTAAACATATTTATACAATTTTACATGTTTTCTTCTATCAAAATAAATTAATTTATTTATAAAGAACTCAAAATAACTTTAAATACTTGTCAACACTTCAATAATCGTCATTGTTATTATCATCTCACCAATCATTACCACTAATTCACTCACCACCATCATCAACACATCAATCAATTTTTTTTCATATTTAATAAAAGAAAATAATCATTAAATAAGAAAATATTAAAAATATATATCAAATCGTAAATTTCTTAAAAAATATGAAATATTTGCGTACATACCACCTAATATTTATGTATTTATATATCTAACAGCCACAATGGAACTTATACGGACCAAATCTTTCATATCACGTAAAATATCACTATTTTAACTTCTAAAAAATGAAATATACCTTTTTCATGCAGAGTGAAGAAGAAATTTATGTCAAAATTGAGTACCTTTTTATGCAGAGTGAAGAAGAAATTTATGTCAAAATTGAGATGGTACATATGTAAATCTTATTTATTTATTTATTTATTAGGGGTTTTTACATACATAACACACACTTCTTATGTACTAACATGTCTAACACAAACTTTACAATTTACAATCATAACACCAATCTTTAACATCACATCAAAAATACAGCTTTATTAACATTTTAAAAGTCAAATGCACTTCTTTTATGCAAAAATATTTATAGGACCAAAACGATGTAAATATAAATATCAAACTTAAGGTGTTAGAAATATAAATCGGTAAGAATTATGTGGTATGTATGTAAATTTCCCCTTTTTTTTTTCTTTTTTTTTTTAACTTTTTGAAATAGCGTAAGAATTATGTGGTATGTATGTAAATTTCCCTTTTTTTTTCTTTTTTTTTTTAACTTTTTGAAATAGATGTCATGCATGAACAGAAACAAGCATATAAACCCAAAAAAATCACATAATAAAGCAATAATGTATCAGCACTAGGGTAGTTTTCGTATGCCATGAGCACAAACTATATGAGGGAATTCATATAATCCTTTAAATTTTCATTTACTTCATAGTCAACAATGAGACCACATGTTATGTTGTGGGTTCAAGTTCACCATATATAGTGCAGCAGATTTATACAATCTGAACTTTGATGTTATGAATTGTGAGATCACACATTTTAAATTCCTTGAACACAAGCAGAAGCATAGAAAAACCAAAACTAAATTAAATTAGATACATGTAAATACATAAGAATTGTGTGCCATGTTATGTATGTTATTGCCCCAAAATTAATTTATTATCTAAATTAATCCCCTTTCTTCATCCCAACCTGATGCATGGATTGAAAAAGATGACAGCTTTGTACAATGATAGTTAATAATCCCACAAGGTAAGTACCAACGCCCACAAATAATAGAAAGAAGCATTGTGGTTGGAGAAATCTCTTGAGTGGCAAAAGTGAATAAATACCTGCCGTGCATTGATTCACATCTTCCACCAAGAACTCCACAAGGAAGCACAAGAACTTGATTCATACTACCTCCACCTTCACCCCATAAGGACCCAAGGGGTTAGCTTTATTATTGCGCTGAAAACCTCTCTCTTGTCGTCTGCTTTCTCTCCTCTTCTTCTTTCTCCTCTGCTTCTTCCTCTCCAAGTCCATCTCACCCCTCCTCTTATACATTTTAAAAGTAACGTTCCTCTCAGCCGCCATCACCCTCACCTTCTCTGTGATCTCCGCTGCAATCTGCCGATTGTAGAGCTTCCTCAACCCCTTCATCAGTTTCGCAAATGTATCGGGCTGTGGCATGAGCCCTGCATCCATCATATCCAAGCAGTAAGAACAAGCCTCCTTCACATGCTTATTTGAGAACAATGCATGTATCCATATCGTCCAAGCATAAACATTGAGCGTACAGCCCTTCTGCACCATGCAGCTCCACACATCTTTGGCTAACTCCAGCTTCTCAGCCCTCAAAAGAGAGTTCAACAGCTCCTTCAGGGTGCCATACTGTGGAGCAGTCAAAAGCCCTCTTGCCACCATCTCCTTGAAGTATCCAGAGGCTTCAATAAGGGATTCTTGGTTGATAAATCCATGGATCATGATGATGAAGGTGTCTAGCCCGGGGCTGAGGCCACTGGCCTCCATCTCGTTCCAGATGAGAACTGCTCTCTTCAACTCACCGAGTTTGCATGCCAAGCGAATTACCACGTTGTAGATGCTAAGGTCAGGTAAGCAGCCAGCTTTGGACATTCTGGTCATGAGTTCAGAGCACTTGTCTAGATCTTCCTTAAGCTCATGAACAGTAAAGATAGAGAAGTAAGTGCTGGGATTCGGCACACAGCCGTGCATTTTCATGGTATCCATTGCATCCAAGAACTCATAAGCTCGGTCTAACCTTCCTGACTTGCAGAACCCAGAAATGAGAGTGTTATAGGTGACAACATCTGGGACGCAGCCTCGCCTGCGCATTTCAACAAACAGTCTCATGGCTTCGTCCATGCAATCCCTTGAACAGAGGGCCTGGATGAGAGTCGTATATGAGATGACGTTCGGCTCGCACCCTTTGCGTCTCATCTCCGTAAGGAGGGCGTATGAGTCTTCCATCTTACCAGCGGCAGCAAAGCCGGCAAGGAGAGTGTTGTAAACGACGATGTCCGGCTCAAAACCTGCTTCCCGCATCTGAACTAGAATGTGCTTGGCCTCGTCGAGCTTCCCGGCGCGGCACCAGCCGTAAAGGAGAGATGTGAAGTGGCGCAGGTTAGGGGGGAAGCGGTCGCGCATGTCACGGAAGAGGGAGGCGGCCTCCTTGACGCTGCCGTTCTTGCAGAGGGCATCAAGGAGGCAGGCGAATACGTAGTCGTCGGGGGCGCAGCCGTAAGATTTCATCTCATCCAGTACCTGGACGGCCTTGGTAACCATACGGGCGGCGGCGAACCGGCGGATGAGGGTGACGAAGACGTCGGTGGTGAGGGCATCGGGTAGCTCACGTCGCATGCGATCTATGAGAGCCCAGGCGGCACCGAAATGGCGGGCACGGGTGACGGAAGAGAGAAGGGTGCGGTGGGCGGCGGGGGACGGGGGTAGATCAGGACGG